TAACAACCACGGGCATTGGGTCACGCGGATACGGAATATTGTGCGGACATTATTAATTATTGTATTTAACCACCGAATACTCGTTCGTTACAACTGCGCACGAACATTGTATAATAGAGTGATGGTCACGGCCGAGTGCGTGATCATAGTTTAACAATCACGAGGAACAAAGTCCTCCGATCGGAATAATTATCTGGAATAAAAGCATCGTATCGACTAAACGAATAAGCCGAGGTATGCAATTTGAATAATTGTGCAACTTTATTAAAATAAAGCGACATTCACACCGAGGCGAGAAACTCGCGTTGTGAGACACCTTTATGATATTGTGAAACGGCCTGTAATGTTGAAATGATGATCTGGAATTAAAGATTAATTAATTCTGAAACAAATTCTCCTGATTAATTATAAAAAATTATTGATACTTACCTTCTACTTACCTGGTCCTTCGGCGATGATCCAACGTTGGCCAGCGACAATCCGGTATGCGATGTAAAGCGAGGATCCGGGGAAGCAGAGCAGCAACAGAGCAGCGATCCATCCGAGGCGGGAATCTGAAAGAAAAGAAGCGAATTAGTACGTAATTAAAACATAATTATCGGGACTTATCCTTATCTGGTATGCGAGGTAAAGCGAGGATCCAGAGACGGATAACGGCAACGGCGATCCATTCCGGGCGTCGATCTGCAACAAAACAAATTGATAGAGGTAAGTAATTATAAGATAATTATCACATAATTATCTTATAATTACTTACCTCTATCTGGTATGCGATGTAAAGCGAGGATCCAGGGATGAGAAGCAGCAACGGTGATCCAACAGGGACATCAGTCTGAAATAAAATTCAAATAATTAGGATATAATTAATTTATCCTTACTTACCTCTATCTGGTATGCGATGTAAAGCGAGGATCCAGGGATGAGAAGCAGCAACGGTGATCCATCAGGGACATCCTTCTGAAACAAATAATTCCTATTAGCGTCTTGCGAATAATCGGGGCGTTGATGCGAACTTACCTTCTCGGTAGTTTAAGGTAAAACCGAGTGGCGACCGTTTGATAGGAATATTATCCGCCGGAATCGGGCTCAACACGTGCCGTCCGGTCACAACTGCAAGGTCTGGCTTATGCGATAAGTGTAATATATTCTTCGTTTTCTTTTAACTTAAATCAGAATAAAAACTACGTTTTTGAAATGTCATAAAACACATTGTGTTTTTATTTAGAATGTCCTTTTTTTTTCTCCTTTTTTTTTCTTTTGGTCACTTTTTCATTGTCTGTATATGTCCCTTCTTTTTGTCATTTGCTCATTTTCTTTCATGTTATCACTTGTATATACAGATCAGATTTTTGCATCAGCGTTACTAGATTATGCACGTAAGCATGCAGATGAAAAGGGTAAGTGCTTAATAAAAATTATTTTAACAGCCTGCATGCATGGCAATGAATTAACGTATAACAATTATTTCGTATGCATATTAAACTACTAATGTAACAATAACACTTTTTGTCTTAGAAAGTCACTTTCTTCTACGAACCTCTTATTTATTTACATCGTCAATCTGTTAAAAGTGTAACAATGTTTTATACTAAAAAAAACATTTTTTTGTAGATGTTCTATCGAACACTGCATCGTCTTCTACATCCTTAGCAGCAGATGTCGAAGAGAACACTGCAGCAGCTGTTGAACATGTAGACTTGGACGAAGAGTTTGTGGATGGTAAGTACATTTTAGTTGATTGCAGTTTAACATTGTTTGTTGTTAAAAATTTATGGATTTCACAAAATATTACTGTCTTTGTTTACAAAGACACAGGATCAGCAAATTTCAGATGGTCTCACGAAGCAGTTTTACTTTTACTGAAGGAATATAGGGAACGGGAACGAAATATGTATTCAGGAAAAACCAGCCATAAGAAGGTATGGGAGCAAATTGCTCAGGTGATGAATAGCAAGGGATATACAGTAACAGGCAGACAATGCACCACCCGAGTAAATACCATGAAAAGAACATACAAGGCTGTAAGGGATCATAACAGACAATCGGGCAATAATAAGCGACCGTGGAAATATTTTGAGGTAAGTGTATGATGTACAGAATAGCTATATCTCTTAAGCGGGGAGCACAGACTTTCGCACAAAACATAACACATAAGGATATAAACTAATCAGTATTCTTTATTTCTATCTCCACGATGGAAATGAAGAAATGTAATTGGTTTATTCACTTGCGTTGTGCATTATGCGTTGTGCAAAAGTCTGTTCTCTTTGCTTTACACTTTTAATCAGAAATTGACAATCACAGTTGTTTATTCTCCTCATATACGAGTGTAATTGGTCAAATTCTTACGTCTTACGCCTTAAATTCTGATTGTAGACATCGCGTTACACAAGCTTATGATATTATATTATATGAACTGTTTAGGTGATGGAAAGTCTTCTAGGCGAGAAACCGTTTATGGAGCCTCCAGCAACAATTTCGTCTACTGGTGCAGAAACATTTAAAATAAAGTCCGAATCAGCAAATTTAACTTTCATATCAGGCTTATCCAGCAGCGGCAGCAGCAGCAGCATATGCGAGAATGAAGCTTCAAATAAGAATATTTGTGTATCTCGTAAGTCAGCGTGCAATTTCATCATTATAGTTTGAATTACAGCTTTTGTTGGTACTCGAATCCGAGTTCTAGCAAAAGACACAACCCTTTAGGTAGCAAGCTTTAAAAAATTGTATATTATTGATATTTACAGGTAAACGTAAGATTGCAGACGTACAGACAGTTGAAGAAGCACGAAAAATAGCAGAAGGAAAACAGAAGAGACATGAAGAGAAGATGGGTATATCAGAGAGATTAATGGAGAAATTGGATAAAATTCTAGAGAAACTATAAAATCTTTATTTTGTTCGTATGTTCTAATGAATTCTATAACATGTATAAGTTACATTACGGATTATAAAAATAACATTTTGTTTGTATGTTCTAATGAATTCTATTACATGTATAAATTACATTACGGATTATAAGAATAACATTTTGTTTGTATGTTCTAATGAATTCTAAAACATATATAAGTTACATTACGGATTATAAGAATAACATTTCGTTTGTATGTTCTAATATAAGTTACATTACGGATTATAAGAATAACATTTTGTTTGTATGTTCTAATGAATATAAATTACATTACGGATATAAAAGAATAATACATATTACATATATTATTATATGGAAATAACGATAGATATTACGTGTTATATATGAATTTCCTTCAAGAAATGTCTGTTATACATCTCTAATT